GCATCACAACACCCAAGTCCCTTGGGGAATTCAGGCCTAAGACCACTCAAGGTCATATAGGACGTCTGTACCAGTGGAGGAAATTCAACCCAGATTTTCCACCTGAACCACAGGACCATTCTTCCTGTCTTATCCTTCCTCTCAAAATAAAATCATCTGGGTACTGAGTTATGGGAAGCATATATCCTAATGGCTCAGTTAAAGGAACTTTTTATGGTGGCTAATTCTCTGTGAGAGACACAGAAGTAGTGAGATTTTAGGAGGATTTGAATGAGGATTGGGGTTGTGGCTTAGTGACTGGGTATTGGGAGGGGATTCTGCATATAGGTGGAAAAAGGCACGGAAATGGGTGTGGAATAGGAAAAGAAGGGTGTGTGAGAGTTGTTTTTGGCACAAGTTTGAGTAGGTCTTTAGCTGAAGCTCAGGCATTTTCATGATTTTTCCAATGGTAAATCATTCACAACAGTAGTACACTGCAACGTGTCCAGAACAAAAGACCCAAAGACACTGCACAGCTTTGCCAGGAGGAGCAGTACATTACAGGCAGGAGTCAGGGACACAGCACTTTCTTTGCGGTTATGTTGCTTCAGTATTGTATGGATACCTTTAAAATTAACATGCAGTAGGTTACAATTTCCCCACTCACCAACCAGAGAGTGAGGCTGGTCCACTTACCCTAAGAAAAAAGGTTTGTTTCACTTGAATGATAAAACACTGGGGCCTGGTCTACACTACAGACATGTATCAGTATAACTATGCCACTGAGATGTGTGAAAAATCCACTCTCTAGAGCGATGTAGTTATACCGCTGCTAACCGCCCCCATGTAGATGCCCAGGAAGGTGGATTAACTACGCCAATTTGAGTCGTGATTAACTACACCAATCAGCGTAGGAGCGTCTTCACTTAAGCGCTACACTGGCGCAGCTGCACCAATGCAGCATTTTAACCTGCCCTAAATCAGAAAGAATGAAATACAATGCTAAAGAAAGACAACAGTTAGCTGGTGTTTAACTAGCCCAGTTTTGCAGCGATCACTGTTGTTTTAACTATCTAACCCAAGGGCTTTTCCTGCCACTATTGAAGTCAATGGAGGCTTTGCAAGTGGGCACTAACTCCCATGAGTCTATTCCTCAGCCCAGACCTGCACTGCAGTTTTATAGGTATTCCCTAGCTTTCCCATAGACTTCTTCTGTCCTGCTCACATCAGTGCCACAGCTTTACAAAAGTTTCCTCACTTTTTCCTATTCTTGAGCACGAAGTATAATTTTAATTTTTAAATTAAAAAGTTAAGTGTTTATTAATGTTTATAAATATAACAAATGCAGTTAAAATAAAACTGTTTAGAACACTTGCAAACTATCCCCTTGTCCCCTGAAATATATCACGTATTCAGAAAAAAATTGTTTTTATATATTATATATATGTAGCAAAACAATACCCATCCTTCCAGGTCCCCAGAACTCTTCCATGTTACTACTTTATCTTTGTCTTAGTCAGTCCCTGAAATAACACTTATCATGACAAGCTATTTTAAAATATAAGCTTAGTATTAACACACATTTTCACAGACATATTTATAGACATCCTGTGTGTGGGCAGAGCAAGCCACCCTCCGTATGTATTCCAATGAACTGGAAGATTGGAGCTTTTAAGCTGTCAGACCTGTGTATGGGTAAGAGAGACTCTATTTTCACTCATATCACAGTGAAAGATTAGCAGCTTGAAATCAGTTTGACAGTTTCAGTTACTCTATTGCATACCACAGGGAATTTTAATTCCAACCTGTGAAATTGTAATTGCTTCTCAAGAAGAACAGAGGGATTCTGGGTAATGGCCATAGCCAAGATCAGTGTCAGAGTTGCCAGTTGCTGCCACTTCAGATATTACTGGCTGTTATTCAAAAATCATTCCAGCTTTCCATATGGGAAGTTGAACTAGGGAGTGAAACTAAATTAACAGAAGCTGTCAGATGTTCAGAAATATGCAGGCAGCGATGTGACAGAGGTGTAGGAACTCTCCTCAAAAGGTACCTTTTCTCTTTCTCGCTTTCTTAAAAATAAGGCTTATGCAAAAAGACAATTTGTGTTTTATGCTCATTGTTAAATGAGGATGTCATCAGTAAAAGAATGCCGTTTAATGGAAGGATTAAATGTCAATCCTGCCCAAACAGCAGGAAAAAAATGTTATCAGGTTGGTGTTTAGAGCAGATTTAACATGCCCTTGCCATTCAAGTTTTGTAGTGTGATAGATTCCTCACTGAAAAGAGTTTGAAGTAGAGAGCACAAAGCTAACACAGTCATCCAAAAACAAGCACAGTTGAGGCTCCTTTTTGTTTGGGGAAAAAAGTAGGGTTGTCAATTAATCGCAGTTAACTCATAATTAATTATGATTAAAAAATTAATCGCAGTTTTAATCACACTGTTAAACAATAGAATACCAATTGAAATTTATTAAATATTTTGGATGTTTTTCTACATTTTCATATATACTGTATTCTGTGTTGTAACTGAAATCAAAGACATTATTTTTTATTACAAATATTTGCACTGTAAAAATGATGAACAAAATAAATAGTATTTTTAAATGAACCTCATACAAGTACTGTCCTGAAAGTGAAACTTACAAATGTAGATTTTTTTTGTTAAACATAACTGCACTCAAAAAAAAATGTAAAACTTCAGAGCCTAAAAGTCCACTCAGTCCTACTTTTGTTCAGCCAATCACTAAGACATACAAGTTTGTTTACATTTCCAGGAGATAATGCTGCCCTCTTCTTATTTACAAGTCACCGGAAAGTGAGAATAGGCATTTGCATGGCACTTTTGTAGCCAGCATTGCAAGGTATTTACAGCCCAGCTGTGTTAAACATTTGTATGCCCCTTCATGCTTCAGCCACCATGTCATAGCACATGCTTCCATGCTGATGATGCTCTTTAAAAAAATAATGTGTTAATTAAATTTGTGACTGAACACCTTGGGGGGAGAACTGTATGTCCCCTGCTCTGTTTTACCCACATTCTGCCATATATTTCATTATATCAGTCTTGGATGATGACCCAGCATATGTAATTCATTTCACTATAGATTTCACAACGCAAAGAAGGTACCAATGTGAAATTTCTAAAGATAGCTACAGCACTTGCCCCAGGGTTAAGAATCTGAAGTGCCTTCCAAACTCTGAGAGGGATGAGGTGTGGAGCATGCTTTCAGAAGTCTTGAAAGAGCAACACAATAATGCGGAAACTACAGAACCTGAACCACCAAAAAAGAAAATCAACTTTCTGCCAGTGGAATCTGACTCAGATAAAGAAAATGCATCAGCCCACACTGCTTTGGATTGTTATCAAGCAGAATCCGTCATCAGCATGGACGCATATCCCCTGGAATGGTGGTTGAAGCATGAAGGGACATATGAATCTCTAGTGCATCTGGCATGTAAATATCTTGGGACACCAGCTACAACAGTGTCATGAGAACACCTGTTTTTCACCTTCAGGTGACATTGTAAACAAGAAGCAGGCATTATCTCCCACAAAAGTAAACAAACTTGTTTGTCTGAGCGATTGGCTGAACAAGAAGTAGGACTGAGTGGACTTGCAGGCTCTAAAATTTTACATTGTTTTATTTTGAATGCAGGGTTTTTTGTACATAATTCTATATTTGTAAGTTCAACTTTCATGATAGAGATTGCACTACAGTACTTGTATTAGGTGAATTGTAAAATACTATTTCTTTTGGTTTTTTTTACAGACCAAATACTTGTAATCAAAAGTAAATATAAAGTAAGCATTGTACATTTTGAATTCTGTGTTGTAATTGAAATCAATATATTTCAAAATGTAGAAAACATCCAAAATATATAAATGGTATTCTATTATTAACAGTGAGATTAATCGCACGATTAATTTTTCTAATTGCACAATTAATCGAGATAATTTTTTAATCTCTTGACAGCCCTAAAAAAAAAAGGGGTTGATTACTAACTAGCCAAAGACATACTTAAGTGGTTACTGTGAATGAATATATGTGTGAGAGAGTGAGGATGCATAGGCTTTAGGGATATCTATCTATCTATATAGATTGATATATAGATATATATATATATTTTTTGGCAGTGTGCTTCATGGGGCAAAGGCTACCTTTTATTTCTGTGTTTCTACAACATCTAGGACAGCAAAAGAGGATCCTGATCTATGACTGGGGTTCCTAGATACTATGGTGATACAAATTCAGAGTAGACTCAATGTATCAGATTTCTCAAGCACTGTGATGGTGCATAGAGGGATGCTCTTTTGTTTAACTAGGTCTCAAACCATAATGATGCTGTACAATTTAAAAATTAACACCTTGAATGGCACTCAGAAGCAGCTGGGAAGCCACTGGGAGCACATAACAGATATAACGTACTCACACTGACCTGCTCCATAAAATAGAGTTGCACTAGTTGAAGTTTATCATTAATCTACAATGGTAGCCTCAAGTAGCAAACAGTTGGGATTCAGTTTGTGTTTTGCCTGAAAGCCCAGTTGAGTTCTTATTTGATTAGAATTGGTTTATCTATCCTTGATCTATACCCAAAGTTTACCAGCCACAAATCAGGCAAATAAAGAATGTTCTATAATAGAATGTGTAAGAGAAACCCCTCAAAGTCAAAAGGAAGATGGAAACATACTGATTATTTAAGGACTTCCAAATAACTTTGGAAGACTTGATTTGAGAACCACAGTATATGCAGCCATCTTCTCCTACCTTCTGCTGAGATGCATTTCTTTTTGCAAAAATTCTGAGATTATAAAAAGTTGTTGATGAAATTCTGGCTGCAACTAAGTCAATGGGGCCAGGAATCCACCCTGTTAATTTATCCACAAGCATATTAAGGATAAACAGCATTAACTATGGGTATGCATTTTTGGAAATCTGTACAAAGATAACAGTTTATTTACAAGGTACTCTGGTGGAGAGCTGGAGAGAAGATATGGATACAATGGACTCTTAAAAGTGGGTAGAGGGTAGAATTTATTTGTATATCTTATTTCTACAAGATGACATTTTTCCTGATTTATTGATGATAGCAATACTCTTGCAATTTTATTGTGATTCTCATAATATCTGGTGTTTTTCTGCATGCCTCAGCTCCTGGAATCAAGTGTTTCAGTGAGAATTTCAGCTTTCATTTTTTTAAAGTAAGTTTCTAGCCCTCATAGTTGTGGAGAAAAGCCTCAAAAGGTGAACAGAGCTCGTTTCACTGAAACAAAATCTCAAAATCTGCTCAAAATTTCAAGAGGCTCAAGTCTGCAAAACAAATAACAATCCAACTTATAAAAAAACCTCTCACAATTTTAAAGCCCTTGAAATTGGCAATCTTGGATCTTGTTTGTAGTCATTACAAATTCATATTTTCTGAAGATAAGCATGTTTCTTACTGAAAGACTAATGATGGATCTTCCTGTTTAATTATCTGTAACTATTATGAATCCTCACTTTAATTATGTTTCTTTGAAAGGTACACAACATTTTTACTCAAGTTATTATTTATTTGTACTACATTAGTATCTAGGAACTCAACCAGGACTGAGGCCCGTGTGCTAGGCACTGTACAAATACATAATCAGAGACTGTCCCTGACCCAAGGAGCTTAAACAAGATAGACAGCTTGGGTGAGGCCACGGAGAAGGGAACTGACTTGAACTAGGTCATGCAGCAGGTTCACTGGCAGAGCTGGGAATGGAGCGGAGACTTCCTGAAAACATCCAGTGCTCTATCCACTAGATAATGCTACCTCCTTGAAAAGAATAGAGTTAAAAAGAACAAACAACAATTTGTGGTGTATGTGAAATGTTATTTCCCCAATAACAAAGTATTCTCACATTACTTATATAAGGCCTGATCTAATGCCCACTGAAGAGAACGGGAAGATTCACATTGATTTAAATGGGCGTTGGGTCAGGCCTATGCTGATCCCACTAAATTTGCCTTTTACAGAAATTCATGAATTTCCCACTCAACAATAACAAACAAAAGTGTTCAAATTATTTCTGTGTAACAGTTCTTTTTTCATATATTTAGAACAAAGTGAGTATGTTCTTTAATGTTCCTAGTTAGGAGGCTGAGCTACTGATGTTTCTTTGTTGTAGGCCAAAAATTACTTCAGACATGGCTGACACACCAGCGGTGACAGATGACAAACTGCAATGGTCGAACAGTTCTACTACTGAATATTTGATTTTAATATACAAAGACAAGCATCAAGAAAAAGGTTTAAGGCAGCTTCAAATGCTCAGCATCCCAAGATCAATACTTCTTCAGAGAAAACATTCCTTAACAATTTAATGGGTTTCCTACATATGCATTTACCTGCAGCTACGTAAAAGACAAATAAGCAAACACCTGCTTTTTCTTTAAAAAGAAAAAAAATCTACAAGAGAAAAAGTCTGATGTGACAACCCATTTTCCTGCTCTTGATAAAATAACCACAGCATGCAAATAGGGGCAGGATGCATCTCACTTAAACTGTGGATGAAAGGAAAGGCTTAGGGTGAGTACAAATTATTGCTCAGTTTACATCTGTTTTTTAAATAGATTTCCTCTGAAGATTTTAATCAGCACTTTATTTTTGTTCACAAAAGCTTCATTCAGTTCAGTGTTCTATTTAAACACCTCCATAATAAAAAGTAACAAGAATTGCCAGTAAAGCCAGGCTGACAGACAGCATCTTCAGTCCACCTCCTTCTTGCTGCCAAGGAAGTTGCATCACCTTCCTGGAACTCAGTGATGCTTTTTCTCGGATTCCAGCAGAAGGGCATGCTTTCAAATTCAAGCCATTTTCCAGCACATATCTGAACTCCTGTGGAGAAATGCAGGAATTAGATTAAGCTTGCATGCTAATTACATTTGATGATGTATATCAAGTACAAAGGAAATCTCCCCTTAGTAATAATGTCCCTTTTAAAGTCAAACAATACTTCAGTCTGTACTGCATCTTGAATTCTTCTTGTTTATCTCGTTCATTTCTCAGATATGGTGAAGAACTTGTGCTGATGCCATACCGAGTCAGTCTCTTCAGTGAAATTAATTTCCAAATCAATAAAACTGTTAACAGCACAGACAAATTGCTTGGCAACAATGTCAAAGAGAAGTTGTTTGGGAGGGTGTCTTTTTTTGTTTTGCTACCCTCCCACTCTTTGGTTCCTTCAAATGGGACTGTATAGCTAGCAATACAGGGAAACAACAACATTGCCATTTTTTCCACAGCAGGGCCCTGCAAATGTCAACCATTTTGTCTATCCCTGGTGTGCTATCTCAGTGATGTTCTGAAGTCCTCCCCCAGCACTTTCCCCCTGACCCTCACGAGGCAGCTGTGCTAAAACACTCACCTTCTTGTTCATATTGAGTCTCAAGGTCCCCTGCTAGGGCTGCTATTACCACTGTCAACGTGATTAAAAGCACCAACAGTTCTCACTAGCGGCAGGATCTATACTGTAGCATGGTTAGGCACGCTGAGTCGCCATTTCAGGCTTAATTTTACCATTCAGACGTAAAGCTAACGGAAGTGTTCCTACTGCAACAACATATCTAGTTCAACAGAGTTTTATGGTTAAAAATCAGTGTCTGTTTAAATGCCATCAGAATACATCAGCAAGAAGGTGTAAATGATGGAAAACAGTATAAAACAAAAAAGGTTTACTAATATGTTGTCATAAGATTTAATTTTTTCATTCTGTTTATTTTGGCTTCTGCTTGGTTTATGTTACATTTTTTCCTAGACTCATTTTCTTTCTTTCAAGAATTTCTTTAATAAATTGGAATGAACCACTTGGATTTTAACTTCCTGAAATCTCCCATTTTAAAATATTTTTGGAGAGTCACCTTTTGCCCCTCACTTTTTCCACCTGGGCATCATTACCTTTGCTTTCCACTTGTACTACCAAGTGCCTGTCTGAACAATCATACAGTACATTCCTAAGCAGCTGTAACAAGGTTGTGTGCATGTTTGTCCATGGCTAATGTAGCTCCTGACTCAATACAACAAATATTACCAACGGAAGGTGCCTGCCCACATCTAAGTGGGACAGCACAACCTAAATAGTTGACTTGCAGCCTGCTTCCTTTATCCACTCCAGGATTAAATACTGTTATAGTATTTGTGGAATGAAAATTATTATAACTGCTTAGATAAACAAATATCAAAGGGGCAAAATGACAGCCTCAGGTAAGTGCTTTAACATCTGAGGTGTTGTTAATTCAGAGTGCACGCAATGCTAGTTGGAGGATTACTGACCATGTAACCTGTGAAATGAAGATGACTTGCTACATGTACAGTAGGTAAAAGATTGTCAGGAAGGAAGCAGAAATAAGTCGACAAGTATATTGGGACATAGTGCTTTCCAGTTAAAGCATGAAAACTAAAGGATTCCAGGACTGCATCACTACATTGTGAAGAATGTGTTCGCTTTTCACCACAAAATATTTTATGTGTTGACGGATATTGCTCTGTACTGATAGGTAGAATAATTAAAATCTATTCCTAAGGAATCTAAAAAACTAATAATTGGCTACAGCTATTTTATTTCAAGAGTCAAAGCTACTTAACCTTTACATGCAAAATAAACTGGAAACCACAGAAAACCTATTATTAAGGTTTTTATTTATCTGAAACAAGCTACCCAGTAATATACTCGTTTTTAAGATTGGTCAAAGTTGGAGGAAAACCTCTCTTCGCCTCAGACTGCATGTGTTCAAAATTCTACTCATCTGAGGCAAATCATTTCTTTTCATGGCCACATAAAATATTAGGTGTTTTTCATACTGTCGGTTAGGTAGATTGTGCAAACAATCAAAACAATTTATGATCTGCATTGCTGTGTATGATGGCCGGCCGCAGACACATCCCTCCTATTCCCAGCCCCAACCCCCACACACTCCCAACACCACGACTTGCGAGGGGAAATCTCCCCCAATCAAAACCCAGGTTATTAGGGTCCTTTTAGGCCTGCCACTCTGGCCCTTTTATCTCGCATGGATGGATTGGAAGGGGATAAGAATCTCACTTGTATTTGACAGAACGATTCCAATAAGTCTGATTACTGAGCTCACTTACAATCCTGCATTGCACTAAGTTTATATGGTGGGATATACCATAGTGTCTTGTTTGTGAGAATCTTGATCAAACATGGATTTACTTCCAAGAAAATCTTCAAGGCACATATGTAAGATTCTGAGTTGGTCTAACTTTCACCGTACATAATCTGCATCCAGTGGAAGTATAACATTTCCTTAAATCTAGTTTGAATGGATTTTCATAAACTGCAGGAATTGCAAAAAAGTACTGTATAATGCAATCAAGTGAAACTCAATAGGAATAAAGCTAGACAAGAGCCTGTTTTTCATCTGAAAAACATTTGGATCAAATACACAGGCAACTTTATTATGCTTTTATAATCACGTAGCATATGTATAAAAAGTTGTGTGCCATAACTGAGTCTTGATATTATTTTCCAGACACAAGCAGTTCAGAATTAAAACTGTTGGTAAGCTCATAATTAATAGAAATATTGCTCCCATTAATGAGAGAGAGAAGGGGAAAAAAGTGGGAAGAAATTATCAAACACAAATGCAAAAACAGCCACTGTGAGTCCAGCATCTTGTATTTCCACTGAATTAAGTCTTTCATCTTATTTTGGCAACAGCAAAGTAAACACAAGACTTTGCTAATAAGGTATAATATAAATTATTAAACCATATAGCATATGATCAAATGCATTTCAGATTATTTTTTGAATAATTCTGCCCTGACAACTGCCAGGAGTAATATATTTTGCATGCTCTTGTACAGCCACATTGATTGCTGTCTTTCTGATGCTCTAGTCCCTGACTGAAATACATACTTCAAAACTGAAGGTTTGGCATCTGTCAGTCACAGCCTACCTTTTTTTTTTTTTTTTTGGGGGGGGGGGCAAGATCTCACTTCATGTTTGTCAACAAAGACCTGATAGCTACTCTTCAGCTGTGAGCTGAGGTTTTAACGGATTCAAAACATTTCTTATATGCAAATTTCTTTTATGGTTCAGGGTATTGTTAGAACTTGAAGTGTTAGCTAACTACAGTAAAAAATTATTTGACTGAATATATCTCAAGATAAATTAGACTGCTGATTTTTTTATTCCAACCATGCAGTACTATAGGGTTTCTCAAACTTTATTGCACCGCGACCCTCTTCTGACAACCAAAATTACTACACGACCCCGGGAAGGGGGACCAAAGCCTGAGCCCAGCACCCCAGGCAAGGGGGCCAAAGCCCAAGTCCCGCTTCCCTGGGGGGCACCTAAGCTTGAGGGCTTCACCCCTGGGAAGTGGGGCTCAGACTTTGGCTTCAGCCCTGACTCCCATCAAGTCTAATGCCAGGAGTTCGCGACTCACTTTGGGGACCCAACCCACAGTTTGAGAACCGCTGCTGTACTACATACACACTTGTACCACTTTGTCAAAAAATAGAGATCTTATATAATCAAGCACAACAAGCATATGTGAAAAATTAAAAGAAAAAATGTTAAAATATGCATTATGCATCATATGCTATTTGAACCACAAACACTTGTTTGTGGCTCTTATATTTTGGAAGCATTTTCATTATTTTCAAAGCAAACAATTACAAAAAGGTCCTACAGAATATATAAGAAAATCATATCCCTGCTATCAAATTCTACTGGATAGTTATAAAAATGATAAAAGGGTAACATTTCTTATTTGATTCTATAGATTTATAGAAGTAATTTCTATACAACCCCATTACACATTTTTATAGAGCCCCCACATGTTTAATCTCTACCAAATTCTATAGGCTTTTTCCCTAAGGCCAGGTTATGATCTTAAGAGTTGAAAATAATCTGCATATAAATAAATTATCTTTTTCCAAATGTCATTACATAATCCTCACAATGCTAACAACATGTGGCATCCTTGCCATTGTGCATCTCAAGTAACATGCAGTACTATCTAGTTGGAAACAGAAAAAAAATGAATGCAAAAAAAGTAGTTTCTGTTGCAACTTTTCAGTTCCCTAACTTAAGTGTGTTTGGGGCAGCTGATGTGCCATATGTTTCCATCTGTAAAATCTCACCATCCTCTAACCTAAGAACTGACTGATTCCAGATGCCCATTCAAAGCTAGGTTAAAGTTTGCCTATTCACTACAAGAAATGGGAAGTCTTGAAAAATAACCAAAACAGCAAGGCCCTTTTGAAAGAGGAATTTCACTTTGTTTATTCTTTCCATTACGTACGTAGGAAGGGCAGGGGGAGAGAATTGGACACAGGGTAAAATATATAATTAATATATATTTGTTCTCAGTAGAAGGAACAGAGGGAGCCTCACCACATTTTGGTAATATGCTTTGATTCTTACTCAATTCCAGAAGGAAAATAAATTAATGAAAGCATCGTACAAATAGACTGCAATCTGTAAACCTGTCTTATTATCCATAGATAACATCCAAATCACTGAATCTGACCCGGTCAACTCAGGTCATGACTACCACTAGAAGCTTGCCTGTGGACAAACACAAACAAATGTTTATTTGATAATGAGGGGTCATGCAGAGACTGATTTTAAGCTACAGTGTGTCAGTTTCTCTCAGATCTAACAGTTTCTCTGAGATTCATTGTCCATTATGAAGATCAATTTTTGTTCTGCCCTGCCCTAGCCCCACACGTCAAGACTGCAGCCACATCTTGATGCTTCTTCTTCCATAACATTTCCAAGATCTGGCCTTTTCTTTCTGTCAATATAGCTGCCACACTCCTAAGCCCTCAACTCCCATCAACCTACTCCTCTCTGAAATTGTCCATGC